CCACCCGCACCCCACAGCCGTGCCTTCGACATTCAGCAGGTGGATTCTGGACTGGCCGGCGTTGCCTGTGCGTTTGACCGCCGCCACCACACGAAGGGGGAGGTCCGGGGTGGCGGGAAACAGGTCCTTGGCCTTCACTGGTGTGTCCTCGGGTCCCTGTTCCACCAATGACCATGAGCGAGTCGATGGCGCGCTCCCTGAGGGTACCGTGGGGGATGCCTCCCCTTCCCTTTCGGTTTGGTCCTTGCGGCCGTCCGGTCCGTTCAGGTTGGGGACCTTCTGCGCTACCTGGCCCCAAATCTCCACAACCACGTTGCGCTTCTCCCGCACGTAGACGTCTGCTGTGCTCTCCGTGAGCCAGTTGCCTAGCTACATGCGGCGCTCCCGGGGGATCCCCATCTGGAAAGCGCAGTCCGGGATGAACACTCGGAATGAGTGCCACGTCAGCGGCTTCACCAACCCCGGGGTAACTCCCCGACGGAGAATAGCATCCTTGAGCCATCTCAGAGCCCTTTCCGGTGTGGAAGGTCTCGGGATCAGCCCTGCAAAGTCTTTGCTCACCGTCGGGAGCAAGTAGTCCATGTCCTGGAATGCCTCCTCGGATACCAGTCGCCTGACCGAGGCCACCCAGGTAGTCCACCAGGGGATCCCCGTGAAGCTGTACTTCGGAGCAATCAAGGGGACCGGGTTGCGGTTGATTCGTGCTGCTGAGACCGTCTTGGTCTGCCAGGCCTTCAGCTCCACAGTGTTGCTGGTGTGGATAAGGTCCTTGGGGTGAACATGCTGGAGGTCATTGAAACGAGCGCTGCACCCAACCTGGAACCGGGCGAAACCCAGGATGAAAGCGTCCAGCACCTCGTGTCTGCTCCTCCCCGGGGCCTCCTGCGTACCGGGGCCGGTGGCACCCAGGCGATCGTAGCCGGCCCCCTCCTCCAGAGCCCATATGACCTCTTTGCTGGGGACCACCGCCTTGCGCTGTGGCCTGGTGACCGTGTCCGTGAGCGCCTCTTCCAATGAGCTCTTCTTGGACTTGAGGCGATGGAGCTCGTCTATCTTCAGCAACCCGAAGGTCTTGGAAAACCACTTGAGGGTGTTCCACACCTGCCGTAACTTGCACGGGGTGACCTCCTCTTCGGCGAGCTGGTTAAGGAGAGAGCGGACATGTCGTTCCTGCCATGGAATCACTGTGAAGCCTCTCTTCCGGAGACTCTCGTAGACCAGGCAATGTTGCCTGAGTGTCCGGAACCTACTGTCCCCCAAGAGGTCCAATGCCTCCTTGCGGAAGTCCTCCCCCAGGATGTCCTGCATGTATGCGATGTGCTCCGCAAAAGGGGCGAAGTGGGCAAGGAGCCGTTCCGCCCATTTCCCGCGCATATGGAGTTCCAGCGCTCGCTGGGTCGTGGGCTCCATTTCCCTGATTTTCCCCGGCCGCCAGTGCCTCCACTTCAGAAGCTCCGGTTGTTGGAGTGGGGGTGGGTCATCTCGTGAGAACCACCTCAGTTGGTCCTGGCGGTCCCATTCATTCTCCAGCGGGGAAAAGTTCTCGCTCGGCTTGCCATCCGCAGTCGCCATGAGGAGGAACCATAGGCTATCCCATAGGTCGGCCAGGTCCGCCGCGGACAGAGGCTGGGGAAGCCTGCCCGCCGCCGACGCCACCAGGCCGTTGAAGTAGTCCGTCGGGACCACTTGGTCGTCTTGCCCTACCGGAATACCCGAGAGTTCCAGGAGCTGGGCGAAGCGGACTGCCGGCTCCCCGCCCAGCTTCCTCCCCTCCTCCTCCGTGCCATGGCGCAGGCACATCAGGACCAACAGCTCCCCGTCCGTCTGTCTCGGGGAGAAGGACTCATCCGCCAATGTGTCCCATAGGACCCTTGGAATGCGGTCCCAAAGACGTGTGTAAGGCGGGCGCAAAAGAAACTTGGTAGAAACCCTAGCCATGAGGAAAAGGGGGGGTTCGAGCCTCCTATCGAACGGCCGGGACCCAACCGCGGCACAATGCATGCATGTTCCAAACGCGCAGAATGCCGAGTGCAGATGGAGCAGGCAGGCCACACGCAGCCCGACAGGACCAAAAGTCAACCCCCGGAAATCCCCAAAAGCACGGAGGGGGGAGACCAACCAGGCGGGGGATTCCCCAAAAACCCCAAGGGGACCTCAAGGAAACCAAGAGTCAGCCGCAGCCACTTTTTCCGAACCGTGGCTGATATGGCCCGTCCTTGGGGCAGCCAATGCAGTCGTGACGTGTTGAACAGGGGGGAAACAATGGTGAAAGAAGAAATCAAAAGAAGACACCCTTACTCCTCCCCCCACCCGAGACGGGGCCAAAGGCACCCAAGTCCCGGCGGGAAGAGATCACACGACTCCACATCCAAAAGGGCTGTGAGACACGACCTAGCGGCTCTCACCGGCCACTGGGATCTCCATCACAGGCAACGGGCAGTTGACGATGAAATTCTTGGCCGCCAAAAACGTCCCCATCTCCTTGAAGATGTAGCTCCATTCCGCCTTGCTGCGCGGCTTGGGGATGCCCAGGCTCTCCAGGAAGGGCACCGCCTCCTTCCTCATCTGGAGAATGTTGCCCATCCACTTGTCCGAGGTCGAGCCCTCCGCATTGCGGCCCCGGCGTTGCGTCTTCACGATCAACGGGAAAGTGGTCCAGGCCGAGTAGATGTACTTGAAAGTGAACCTGTGGGCGTACACCCCCGTCAGGCTCGGCAGGTCCCACGTTCTCGTCTGCCTGGTCCAAAACACCCCATCACCTTTCGCCCAGAAGATCCCCACCACCTGCTCCGGCGCCGGGCGCTCGCCCCGGTTCACCTGCGCTCGGATCTCCAAGGCCGTGTAGATGACTGGGTCGATGTGGCCCCGCTCGCACGTGAGTGGGTGAGTCCTGCGCTCCAGGGCCAGGAGCTCCTCCGGCGTGAGCTTGAACTGCTGGTCAGCGCCCCTGGGGATCTCACCGCTTGCGTGCTTCTTTCAGATCCCCCCAAACATCCGGAGCTCTCCCTGGTGCCTCTTCATCGCCCAGAGGAGCAGGGACAGCTTGCCCTCCTCCGAGTCCAGGTCCGGCTGTGACATTGGCTGGTCCCCCCCGGGGCCAGTGGCACCTTTAGGGGGGGCCACCAGATCGGGCATCTCCTCCAGCAGCGCCTCCTGGTGCCATGGGTTCTGCGACTCTCTGAGCCTCCTGATGTAGGGGACATACTTCTCCTTGATGTCCCCACCTGGGGGATGTCCTCGGGGTCATCCAGCTCCAGGAGGGGGCAGAATAGCCCCCTCTCCAGGGAGTGTGGTTGAGCATCCATGCCTGGTTGGGGTCCTGGGTGCGCTTGTTCGCCGCCTGAGCCTCCTGAATGGAGCCCATCGCCTCAGCCAGTGCCTGGCTGGCGTCCACGCCCTTCCCCTCCAGGTACTGGTCTCGCAGCTTGGCCTTGAATCGCTCCAGGTTGACACGGGCTCCCTCATTGGCCACCTCAAGGCCTTATGCAGCTCCTCCTTCTTCCGGATCGCCTGGTCCACCTGGGGGTGGTAGAGCTGGAAGCTCTGAGCCTCCGCCTCCTTCAGGGACCGCTGCACTTTGACCTTGATCTCCTGGCATTCCCGGACCTTCAACGCCTCGTCGTCCGCCTCCATGGACAGGATCTCCTGCCGGATGTCCACCCGCCTGTTGAGCGGGACCACGTCTGCCATGGTGATCTCCTCTGCCGTGTCCGTTTTCGGAGGAGCTCTCCCCAGGACCGTGCCGTCCACCAGGTTGCGGTCTGCCTGTGCCCGGGTACCACCGGGGCCAGCGGCACCCAGGCTTCCCCCTTCCCGCTGTTGGATCCAGGTCGGCTTGCCCTCCACGATGAGCAGGTTGTAGGTGACGCCGTCCGCCTCATAGGTGGCCGAGGGTGCCTGGAAGGGGACGAACTCCTTGCCTGGGCAGACCCAGCACTGCTTGGCTGCCTCTGGCCACCCCGTGCCGCATGCCTTGCACATGAACTTGTAATCGGAATGGCCTGCATCGAGCCTGTGCATTCGCTGGGTGCCAATGCACGCCTTGTTCCTCTGGAACTGCGAGGCCCAGACCTCCTCCTGCCGGATCTGGATCTTCATCGGGACATAGGCCTCCAGGATACGAATCACCAGGTCCTCCGTGAGATTCTTCCCGACAAACTTGTGGAACAGGGAGACCGCCTCCTCCACCGTGACGTCCCTCAGCAAAGTGGCCGCCGATGCCGGAAGGACCGGGAAGAGGTCTGGGAGGTCCACCAGCTTGAAGTAACCGGGTCGGCCCTCAACCGGCACCAAGGAGACCGGTTTGTTCACATGAGCCGTGGTCTTCTGGGAAGCCGCCACGAAACCCCTCAGCCTCTTCGTGGGTGGTGTCTGTGCCTCCTCCGGTGGAGTGGCCCGCTCCGTGACGTCCGCATCTTCCATGTCCTTGTCCTCCTCCTCGGCGGGGCCAGGGGCACCCAAGCCGGAAGCCGGTGTGGCAAACGCCACACGGAGACGCTCCAGTGCACTGGAGAGGTCCTTCATCACGTCGGTAGCCGAAGCCGACGGGGGGGCCTCGGGCTCGTCCAAAACCAGGCCGGCCGCCACTGCCGCCTCGCGTGTGCGAATTTCCTGGGCCTCCTGGCTGGCCATTTCAACCTCCTCCACGGTGAGCGTCTGGTCCTCAATCAGCTCAAAGGAGGTGGCCGAGGTTGCCGAGGAAGCCATTGCTTGATCGGGGTTAGTTCGAAAGTGTCCAAACTCAATTTTTTTTTCACACAAATTGGGTTCTAGGAACCCCGGGCAAAGCTTGAGCCAAAATGGCACATGCCATTATGGTCAAGCATTTCAAACACAGTTCATGTTTCCACATGCGTTTCAACATTAACAAAGCAACATGCCCGAGGCTGCCTCGGCCAAAAAGCAGGCCCGATATAAACCCCCCCCCCCAACAAAAAAAAAGACTTTTGGGTTCCCAAGTGCCAAAGGAAGCCAAGGGCTTGAGGGAAAACTTCCCTCGCCTGCTACCCTTGGAGGTGTTCACCTGAACCATGTCCAGCACATCGATGCGATAGGTGAACCCGTTCGCAGCCTCGTAGATCACACGGGAGCCTTCCGTCCTGAAACAAGGCAACTTGGAAAAGCTGACTCACTGGTCCCCCCAACACAGTACCCACCACGATATAAAGTAGAGTCCGAAGCCGGTTGACCTGACTTGGCCTGTTCATAGATCCTTCATGTCTAGAATCTCACATAGAGAAATGAGAAGTAATTGGGGGGTTAAATCGTTGGAGACAGTGACACTTCCTCTAAACAATCTGCAACCACTTGAAATTTCAGAGAATGTCTGCCTACCTTCGCATTAGAATTTTCAGCACCTGCTTTGATGGCTTTTCCGGATACCTTGGTTAGGCTCCAAAAGAAGAGGATTCTCGATGGGGCAGCTTCTTCCTTGTAACCAGGCTCCTTTCAGTCATCCGGCATCCACCGATCACTATGGGTCTGTCTGGCAGCTTTTCCTTGCGTCAGCTTCAATCTAGCTTCCGTTACTGAAAATTTGCGGCTTCTTTTGCCTCGCCTCAACGAGACCTTGGCCCCTTGCGCGCGCGCCGCGCGGCCCTTCTTGAAGCCCATGGCGAGCTTTCAGCGGGGGGGGGGGGGCGCGGGGGAAACGTGAGAGTGAGACCTCTGGGTCTTGGGAATTCCCAAGGCACGTGGAAAAAGAACCATCTGGTCGACATATGCGCTGAGTGGAAAACCTACAAAAAGACAAGGCTCGTCAAGCGCTTGCGCATGCTCGCAAGCGAGCAGACCCTTATTCCAAATCATTGTTTCTCCGGCCTGATTGTACTCAGGCAGGCTGGGCATGTCTGCTCGTATTGGGAATGGCAAAGATATAGCACCTGGTGATGTTCAAAAATTGTGGCTCCAAGCTGCTGCCTATCACAGTCTATTTGTCCTCACGCATGCACGACAGAGCCAGAAAGTGGAAAGGCGCAGCGGTGTTCATCAGCCAGCTGTCGGGCTTCCATATCCCCTTCAAACACCAATGTTTTCTGCAACCACGTGACCACGTGTGAACACAGCGCAAATCATCCATGCATGTGTGGCAAGGCAAGCCAATGTTTCTTTGGCCTTGTTCATGCTGCTCCTACCCCTGCCCACAATGCCCTGTCGAAACAAGTCTTCCCTCATGAGAGCTTCGCTTTTAGCTTCTTTCGAGACCAGGAGTTCAGTGCTCTGAGGCATGTCGGCTTGAGGCCATGCTAACTTCCTGCTCCCAATTACCGGGCCTACTTGTCCCGGACAATATCTCCGACGCTATGATCGTGCGGCTTTTGCAAACATCCTAGATGCAGGCCAAGGGTTCAGCTGATTTCCGCGCCATTAATCAGCAACGGCAATTCCCACTTGACCATGTCCTCTGGCCTCTTGCTTTATATCCTGAGAACCTTTGAGTCCCTAGACTTCCAGTTTGGCTTCGGTCAAGTGAAAACTGCCAAATGCCAAGTTGCATTCCAAAAAAATCCGATAGCACTCCCCTTGATAAGTTTTCCAGAGCTCAGTGCCAAACGCCGGCGCCGGCGCCGCGGCCTGGTACTGCGGCGTGGAACTGCGCACCACCAGCACCATCTCGCCCGTTGGACCGGCGGAGGAGGCATCGGGGAAGGCGCCGTCTGCGGCTGCCTCGCATTCAAAGGTGGGCCTATGAAAGCCTGGGGTTGAGGAAAACAGCGTGTGGCTGGCTGGTTTGAAGGTTTTTTCAGGGAAGACCACAAGCCTTGGGCGAAACGTCCCAAACATTCAGGTTGAGTGCAGGTAGTGAGATTTACAAGCAGTAGTACCACGTGGCAAGGGAAAAGCTAGGTGCCGTCCTGTTGTTGCTGAGTGCCGACAACTTTATGTTTCGCGTATGTTGGCCCCTCTGTTCGCAAGGCTTGTGCTTGGGATAAATAGCTCTTTCCCGTCCCTGCTGGTTCCAGCCTTTCGCACTGGAGACAACCAACCAGCCAGTGTTTGACACAACTCTCTACTCTCTTGATTAACACGAAAAGAAAGCCAACTCGCGAATTCCGGAAAATTCCATGGGAATGATTTCTTCCAATGCCACTGGCTGCTGACCTCAGCCCCCATGACTCCCCGAAAAGCTTGAGGCATCCAGCACCAAGTATGGAAACCTGAAAAACCAACGAGTTTTCCCATGTAAACACGTCCACTTGGAGCCACATACCCAAGAGCTTGGGTACTCGGAGCCGATTCACCGCGTGGCCCACTCCATCCGATGCTTCAAGTCACAAACACTTCGGGCATAGCAATCTTCGCTCCTAAACCTCCAATCCTACCGAAACGTCCGGCTGCTTCGGCAGCAAGCGTAGGTTCGTAGGTGAAATGGATAGCATGTGCATGTGTGAGTGTGTGTGTGTGTGTCAGGGTCACAAGTCTCCCAGGGCTAGTGGTCTGCTCCCAGCAGAATTGGGCTCCTTGCCATTGGACCCGAGATGTTCTGTGGCCATACTCACGAGAGCGGCATGAAAGGATACATACCGCTTTCCTATCGAATGCCAGCAGCTAGGGGCCTATTTCAAGGGGGAATTTAACCTACAGAGGTGGTGGCGATGTTCCCCCATGACTTCGAACCGAAGACTCTTAAGGAATGACAATACCAGGAACAAGGTCCTGGGACCGGGGCACCATGTAGCCTGGGAAACGCATGCAAGCAAGTAGGCGTATATCTTGTTAGAACCTGAGGAAACCTGCCATACACAGCAAGGGCCCTCGCGATCTTGTGACAAATAGCCACGTCTCGAAATGAGGAAGGCCGATCTCAAAGTGTCTTTTTGAGGGAAACCAAGTCGTGAACAGAGCAGGCCTGAACCTTTGACACTCAAACCAATGTCTCCAGGCTCAACAAAATGCGCTTAGATACCGGCATTTTGACCCATGCCCGGACTCAGGCTGCTGGAGCAGCTGCGATTTGCAGCGAGTCCCGCAAGCCGTGCGACAAATATCCTTGCTCTGCGTGCTTGTGGCACGTGTGAGTCTGCGAGTCCGCACAAGTTCCATTGCCAACGGCAATGGCCCCAAGCGCCCCAAGCGTTGCTCCCGGCTCCCGCCCACCCCTGGCGGGAGTGAATTCGCGGAGTCAGCCAGTCACTTTAGACCTCAGAAGTCGGCATCCAAGGAGAAGCGCGCCTCCTCGGCACCGCCCATCACACCTGCCTTCTGATACTCCCCCACCCTCTTCTCGAAGAAGTTGGTCTTGCCCTGCAAAGAAATCAGCCTCGCAGTGTGGCAGCTTCCCCCTATTTTGTGGTTTGCGGGTTTGAACCCCTGGTTCTTGTAGGGAAACCAGTTCCTGCCCGAACCAAACCACATAACAGGGGAAGCTGATTGGTTTGCCTCCGAAACCCAAAAGGGTACCCTCAAAAAGCAGGGCATGCAAAAAAAACATCCCCATTTGCAGCAAGGTTCCCCAAGTCCCTGGCAATATGTCCCGCAATGTCGTTTCGGTTTCCTTACCCTGTCGCGTCACTCCATCCAGTCGAAGGGATTGGAGGCTTCGAAGAGCTTCGAGTGGCCCAGCGCGCAGAGCAGCCGATCCGCCACGAACTCGATGTACGTGGCCATCAGCTCTGCGTTCATGCCGATCCTTACGTCTCAGGAAATCTTTAGTGCAAAACCCAAGCGTCTCAGACATGCCTGTCGCCAGAGTGCCATCTGACTGGTTGGGGAAGCATTTGCCAAGGAAGGTTCGAAGCTACATCAGAGGGACCATCTCTTGGATGGTGTCCAAATTTGTTCGAAAGGAAGGCGGTTCCCGCTTTTTTGGAAGGCACCTGATTGAGACCCTGTTCAGCTCGAGCGCTTCGTGACGGGCTTTGGCCACACGCCCCATGCAAGGATTGATTCGTGGAATAGAAACCAAGAAAACCAACCACAAAATCTGGCGAAACCAAGGACATGTCACCCACAAGCTGGATGTGTGTGTGTGTGGCGTACCGTGGACCATGGAAGAAAGGCTTAAACTTCCCCTGGGTGTCAGTGGTTCTGTGGGAGCTGACAAGCGAGAAAGAGTTGGCCAGTGCCATCCACTTGGAATGGATTGGCTGCCAATCTCAAACATTGACGTCTGCAAAAAATATATTAAAAAAATGGTCACAGCGTCAACAATATGGTTTAGCTTGTCGTCTAAAAAGAACTGATCAAATGGCTGTAGGGGCCTCTTTTAGGACGACTCAGAAAAGATACCATGATGACACCAGCCATTTTGGAAGGGCTATATTGCTTGTGGTACATACCTTAATATGGCTACTGACAGAAAATAGAACGAAAGACGCTGTCTGGTTGGTGCAGGGCTCAGATCGCATGGCAACGCCTCACAAATGAACTTCCGCTCGCTGTCCACCGCACCACGGATGATGCCATGGACAACGTCCTAAGGAGCCAAGCGGTTCGGGATTGGAGTAGGCGTTGGGGTCAGGGTTGCAAGGCTGGGCAAATCTGTATCTTCAATGGCTGTGCTTGTCATGTTGAGTGTAACCCTGTGACATACTCTTCATTTCTCAACTGCGATGTGAAACCAGCACATCCGATCTGCTTCTCCTTGTTTCTGCTGGGAACGCCGTGCTTTTTTTCGGTAATTCAGAAGATAGCCATCGGACCCTAGGTCGATGACAGGAGGCGATGCTTGCAAACGTGCATCCACTCGCAAACGACAGGGAAACCCCCCATCCACCTCCCCGGTTCTCAACTCCCGTGGCGAGGAAATTTCTCAATCAACCCTTCTTTGGCCATTGAATCACCTTGCCCTTAATTGGTGGTTTGGTTTGGCTTGGTTTCTAAGTTGCGGGGTACCTTCACATGTGGCTTCAAAGGAATGCAGGGTTCCAATCCCCGAACCACCCATCTAAACCACCAATTGGGGGCCGCCTGAATGAAAAAGTGGCTGCCCATGTTTGCAACAAAGCGCGCCTCCGGAAGTTTGTTCTGGAGCATGTTGTACAAGAGGCAGGCGAAGTCC